TGAGGGCCCCGAAACCACAGACCCTCCTTTCTGTGGGGCCTGGGCCCGCCCTCACCCACAGGAAACGGGAGGGATAATGGTGATGAGGAAGCTGCCACAGGTGCCAGTGCCAGGACAGTGGTGTGAGATGCCCCAGGAGGTGATGCTACCTAAGAGGAGAGCCTGGTCCTGCCCAAGAGAGCTTTTGGGGTGATGCCGCTGGCAGGGAGGGCACTGCTGGGTGTGTCTGTGTGTCTGTGTGTGCCCAGGAATAAGCCAGCAGAGGACCCCAGTGAGTGTGAGCCTGAGGCCCAGGGCAGAGCAGAGAGAGAAGAGGCCTGGGACTGACTCATGAAGGGAGAAACAAAATCTCTTTGGACAATTCACACACTCAACGTCACATCTAGTTGGTTTGACAAAACATGGGAAAGAAGAAGTGAAATTTGTTAACTTTACCGAGATCCATGCAGTTCACTTCAGGGGACAGTTTTGGTACCAAATTATCCTTGTTATGCAAATTTCCTCCCCAAGCAGCTGGTTCCCAGTTGTGCACGGGGACGTGGTGGGTGCATCTGCTTCCCGTCGTGCCGATTCACCGGGTCGCCACAGCCCATCTGCTCGGCGGGGCGGTGCCCTGCTGCCCAGGAGGAGGTGTGGGGTTGGCTCCTTGAGCAGGAAGGGGACGAGCAGCCAGCTCCCCAGGGACACCCACTGGGCCCAGAAAGGGCGGCCGCAGGAGACAGAGCTCAAGGGAGGTTGGCCTTGTTCCTGTCCTTGGCCTTGCCAAAAAGCAGAAAAAGCAGAGGGGCATCACATTGAGGTTTTTACCTTCCTCCCTAGGAAAATACAGCCCGGAACTTGGCATTTTTGAAGCATCAGGTCCAAGCTGAGGTCTGGGGCCATGGTGCATTGAGTTCCCCATTTCTTCTCTGCCAGCTTCTCTCTCGAGGCCCCAACCCACCTCCACTCAGCACCTCTGGCACCTACTTGCCACCCCTCTGCGGAGTCACTCCCTGAACGTCATTGTGAGCATCCTAGACTCAGCCAGTGGCTTCTCAGCCCCTCCCCATTTCATCTGCTTTATTGGTCCTGTTTATGGCCTCTCTTTTTGTGTAGAGAAGATCTAGGATGCTGTCCTCAACTGGGTTTCCTTCTGTCTGGACCAATCGCTTCTTTTCCTCTGCTGTCTCCCACCCTCTCTCCTCGCTCTCCTTAGGTACCTTCATGTTTCTATCACAGCTTCCCTGTCAGTTATCCATGTGGTGATGACTCTCAAATCTATGACCTTGCTCCAAAGCTGACCTGTTCTCCTCATCCAATTGCTTCAATTAAACAAAATCAAGCTCACTCTTCAAACCCTTGGCACTATCTTTTCCTATTAACAGCTCAATAGGATCTGAGACTTGGGTAAACTCCTCATTCTCTCTCTAATGCGTAATTGATTTAATCCTCTTAAAGAGATGATTATGCAGCATATATTTATTGAGCACCTTCTTAGTCCATTTGCACTGCTATAACAAAACACCAGAGATTGGGTGGCTTATAAACAACAGACATGTATTTCTCACAGTTCTGGAAGCCAGAAGTCTAAGATTAGGGTCAGGTGAAGGCCCTATTCAGGGTCACAGATTTCTTGCTGTGTCCTGGCATGGTGGAAGGGACAAGGGAGCTCTCTGGGGTCTCTTTTAACTCTATTCATGAGGGCTGCACCCTCATGACCTAACCACCTCCCGAAGGCCCACCTCCTGACACTCAGGGTTAGGATTTCCATTCATGAATGCTGGGGGGACACAGACACTCAAACCATAGCAAGCAACTACATGAGCAAATTCATGGAGCTTGCGTTCTAGTGGCAGAGATGCAAGCCCTCTGCTCTTTGCTTCCCTCTGATCTCGACTTCTCTCCAGTTTCAGCACCACTGCACAGGTTAAATCTGTATCTCCCTGCCAGGGCTCCTGCTGGGTCCCTCCATGCCTCTCCCTTGCCTTCATGGTATCAATCACTCTCTCCTCCAGGCTTCCAGCTGCTTCCTACCACCTGCTGACTCACTTATTCTCACTCCTCTGGATGCAGGAACTTAGCATGCTTCTGTTTGCTCTCCTGGGATCTGCTGCCTGCAGGGTAGGGGCTTCTGGTCCCCTCTCCCCCATCTTGCAGGGCAGGGGCTTGGCTGTTTTAGGGGGTGCCTGAGCTGAAGTGCTGCCTGTGTCCAGGCAAGCAAGTCTGTCTAGTTCAGGGTGATGGTTGGCAAGCCACTGTGCTATGTCCTCTAACCTAGGTAGGTTTCATGGGTAACATAGCTAGCATTTTGGTTCCCACTCTCTGATTCTCTTGTTTATATCTGAGTTGTTTCAAATTCAAGAGGGGAAGAGAGAGAGATTATTAATTGTTCCTCCTCCCATGCGCACACACAAAAAGTGTGGGCTGGAGAAAAGAGTTAAGGCTGCAACTGCCTCAAGGAGGAAGAGGACTAGAGTCTGCTTAGTCCAGTTTGGGGGAGCTGGTCCCACACGTGGTGGTGGACTCCATGGACGTCCAGCTCCAGAATGGTCAGGAGTGGGTCTCTGGAAATTGCATTTTTAGCAGCCACCCAGGTAATTCTGAGCTTTATTTGAGAATCAAGGTCATGCGGGATCATTGGAAGCATTGGCACCTAAGGAAGCCTGGAGTGGGGGAGGGCGTCTCGAGGTAGCCTAGAGCTGGGAACTGAGAATTTGGGTTAATGGCAGGAGAGACCAATGAGAGGACAGGAGCCTGGGCTGCTGATGCAGAATTCTTATTCTAAGGGCCAAGGGAATCCATTTTCTCCTTCTTAGAGGTAGTGAGGGGTGTGTTATTTTGGGAAAGGTAAAGAGAGATGCTGTGTGTAGGCAGCAGCAACATTTTGGCCCCACTCCTGTAGGGGAGCTGTGCTGCCAGATGCTGCTCTGGGTTCTCATGCAGAGAAAGGCCAGAGAGGTTCACACGGATGCCCTGGGCTTCAGAGGACACAGAGCTCCTATGCTGAGAACTTCCCTGAGTCTTACCAATTGCTCAGTTCCTTGAGTGTCCCATTTGTGACTACTTATGTGTTGGAGTGGGGAGGCCAAACAAAAAAAAGGCGACTTTTGGAAACAGCCATGGAGATTCTGTTCCTTAAGAGTCCACATGTTTTTGAAGAGAATGCAAGAAGGTTTCATCAAGGAGTCACAAAACCTCCAAGATGCTTTATTTTGACAGAAAATATGACCAATTAATTGGAAATGGGATCAGGAATCTTTGAGCCCCTAATCTTGATCTTTAGCACCCCAAATTTCACACTAACATTTAAAATATAGTGCGACTTTTAAATTTACAGCACTCATCAGGAAGAGAGGTGAAATGCATGAGGGCAGATGTTTCCAGTGGAAATGATAAAATGCATGCAGGCAAGCTCTGGGGCTGCCCCAGGGGGACACAACAGAGATAGAGAGTCCAGGGTGCTCAGAGGCTGCTCCAGGTGTGCTGGGAATAATGGCAGACCCACAGCATTGTGTCCACTCAGTTCCCACTTTGTCCTCCAAGCCTGCCACCTGGCTCTTCTCACCTTGGTAGGTCCTACCCGGAATCTGGTGCTGTCCTCCTGGGGCCACCAGGCAGACCATTCCTGACTCCTCCCACTCCCAAGTGTGCATGTGAACTGCTGTGGTCCTCACGGTCACCCCACAAAGGGGGCACTCCCTCCAGATCAGCCTCCCCAGAGTGGGCCCCATCACTTGGCCACGTTAAGTGGATGCACTTCGACCCACTAAGAGTTTGCAGGGGACAAGAGAAAGGTAAATGGACACTAAAGGTTTACAGTGTCAAAAGGCTATGATGAGAATAATCATTCTTATGACAACTTAAAATAAAAGGTAGTGAGAACCAAGAAATGGAGTCTATCATGCTACCGGTGGCTCTTGAAATCAAGATCTGAAACCTTGCCCTTCCCCAGTCACCACATCCAGGACGAGCACTCCTGTGTGCTCAACTAGGGCTGGGAAGGCTTGCAAGTGATTAGTGCAAGCAACTCCTTTATCACAATTCCTTCAATGCATGTTTATTAAGCTTCATAAGAAATTGAGCTGCAAGCACATTCCTCCTCACTCTCACCATCAAACCCCAACCCTACTGAGTCACTTTTCCCCTTAGTTTGAGCCCAGGTTATCTCTAAGCGAATGTAGATATTTTTTATTTTTTGGACCTGTGATCACTGAGAAATAACAAGGCACAGCTGTAACCAATTTTCAAATGGGTGTATCATCACATGTATCTATCCCACCAGCATGCTCGTTCAGTGAGGTCACCTAAGGAGGCAGAAAACTTCCTCGAAAGAAGCTGCCTTGGGCAACGATATTTTTGAAAGGCCCCCCTTGGGAACTGATGCCAGGGGTGATGTGAAACAGTACAATCTGCTTATTTCATTAGAGTTTCACCTCATTTGGATCAAATGTTGTACTATGTGAACTTGGTCACCTCATCTTATTTATTAGATCTGAACCCACATGATGTTTGGCTATTTCTCCTAAAGGGACAGAGGATTTTACACATAGAGTGTTAGCAGTAACTCAGTTCTGTACAGAGCTGAGATGAGCCTTCCAGCATTGCCCAGCCCTGGCCTAAGTGAGCAGCTTTGCAGGGTGAGGACCATGAGAGGTGGCCACTGTGGTTAGTCACTGTCTTCTGGGCTCCCCCAGCTGTGGGCCTGGTACTCGGGGAATTATGCGGTGAGCTGTGAAGAGCCAGAAATGTATTTCTTGTTGCCCACTGCCTCCACCCACCCTTAAATCCACACTTTGAAGTCAAAGACTGAGACTTAGTACCCTGAGTCCAGCACTGCTTGGACAGGAGGCAGTCAGTCTGCTGAACTGAACTGCTGTGCTGGAAACATCGTATGCCTACGATCACAAATGATTCTCAACTCAGGCCACACCAGCTCAAGGCCCGCCACTGCCTTCTCTGAGTGGCGGAGTCCCAAGGGCCTTGTCTCATAGTCGTGTGGACTTCGTGCAATGGGGCAGACAGAGGATTTGGTGCGTTTATTTGTTCTATCACTACAGAAGGAGCATTTCAAAATGTGTACAAAAGGACTCTATTCCTCCAGGGGTATACCCCTTGTTCACAGCTAAGCAGAAATGATTTAACATCATCATAGAGGCAGACTGGAAATACAACTGCATTTTCTCATTTACAACATGTATTTGCCAGAATAGCAGTTAAAGACCTAAAGCTGCATTGGATACAAATAAATTGGACCTTAACAATCACCACACACAACATTGTAAAAAAGTGTATTAGAAAGTATTGGAAACAATATTGCATATTAACATCTGGTTACACGTGTTCACAGTGAATGCTATCGCACCAACGGCATATGTGCTTCTTTTTTCTGATGCCTGTACATCTTAAATAAGTCTGATTTTGGTTCATTTTAAAGTAAAAAAAAAACCCGCATTGAACTGAATGAGAGATATCTGGATTTTAAGTAGAGTTGAACCTTCATTATTGCCAGAACTTAAGAAGTGCAGGATAGAGAAATACATTTGCTTCATGACTTGTCTACATAAGTCCATTTCATCTTGCTTTTGTTTTGGCAAGAATATGACACTATAAGAGTCACAAAGTAATCAAAGCAAAACATGAAAAAGCACAAAAATAGGAAGAAAAAAACCCCAATCTGACATCTCCATAACAGGTAGCTCTCTTTCTCAACGAAGATTCTAAGATCCCATTACATGGTTGATCCTAAACTGGAAGTGAAACATGCTGGTATCTGAAGCGAGTGGTACTGGGACACACCCTTTGGAGATAAAGCAATGATAATGCAATTCTTTTTAGTGACTCTTCAATGAGGACCAGCCCGAGCTCTAAGGTACATGTTACAGCAGGGACCTGGGTGAGGGGCAGGTGTCCAGAATTTTCAAGTAGACGGAAGCTGGGCGACAGGGGCGGGGCAGGAACGCTACATAGCAATTTCTCATTGTGATCAACATATCAACCTGCTCCTAGTGACCCTCCTTTCTCTGATCTTTATTTTAAACACATGGAGAGCACATGAAGCCTAGGGACACTTCAGTACACAGTGGTTCCCAAGACACACACTCACGCCATCAAGCAACAGAACAAACCACAGAACAAAAAGGTGGGAGGTCATGCAAAATCCTACTTTTACCAGGTAGAAGAAAAACAGTAACAGCTTTTGGTGCAGAATATGGCCAGCTTTCAGACATAATTTAATTACTTGTTGACACTATATGAAACTTCCTTTAAATACAATAGTCTCAAAGAAAAATGGTGTTACAATACAAAACCACAACAAAAAGTGTGTAAATAGACAATTATCTTTGCTATAAAAGGCAGTAAGAAGAAGGGGAAAGCATTTTAGAAAAGAATTCCTGCAGCCACTATTTACAATTCTGGGTTAAATTTTGTTTGAAGTCATGGGGAGAAATAACTCCTTTCAACCAGTTGACTGTGGGATGGATGGAAAACAACACAGCAGGTGCAATTGGCCAGCAAACTGGAACGCTAAGAAGTCTTTCACCTTGAATATGTACATTCAGATGAGGTGTATCTTTCTCTGTAATTGCATACTGAACTACAGCTGTCAACAGACCAGCTCCTCTATCTGTTCCTTTATTCAGTGCATCAGTGTGCCACAGTCTAAATTATTACCATTTCGTTTATTTCCAGTTCCAAAATCACAGACCGTTTTGTAAGCAAAGAAATCCATGACTCAAGAATGATATCTTTGTGGACTCCATCCTTTCAACAAAACTGAAATGCACATGAGAAGGTATGTTTCTGAAGACTGAAGGGGGATAATTCATTTATAGAATTTATAATGACTCCAAAGGAACAGGAGTCAGGCTCCAGACTGATGACTAGGATAATGCTTCCAGTGTTTTCATCTTTGGAAGACTTCCTAGACATCTGATTGGCTTAGAATTCATTTAGAGCAGTGATTCTCAGCTGGGGGCGATCTGCTCCCCAGGGGACATTTGGCAACATCTGGAGAAATTTTTAGTTGTCAATTGGGAGTGCTAATGGCATTTGTTGGGTAGCGAGCAGGGATCCTCCTAAATATCCTACAATACATAGGAGAATCCCCCACAACAAAGAATGATCCAGCCCCAAATGTCAACAGCACTGAGACTAAGAACCCTGGATTTAGATTAAATTTGGAGGTGTACAGTTGTTCTTCTGTTTCTTCATGTTCCCCGTGGGACAGTTTTGGTGAAGACAAGTACTGTAAACAATTGAAATTGTATGCTCTTCCTTCTCTAGGTGGTTGAGATGAATGTCCTTAATGACAGGGTTAGTCTTGAGGGAGACCCTTCCTGATTTGGACTAGAATCCCCAGACACCTCAGTGGGGCCTCAGAGAGCATTCCACGTCTTAGCATGGATGGGAAGGGCTCTCCCCTCCAGTGTCACTGGCCTCTTTCCTGTCAGACCTCGTGGTCTAGGCACAAGACTGCCCTGACCTTCCAATCCCCTAGGGAGAAAGGGCGTAGGGCCATGCAAACTATTTATGTGTGAGCACACAGCTGCTTTGTCCTTATGGGAGAGAGTTTGAGATTGCTTGAAAGTTTAGTTTCAAACAGGTAGGTTCCGTGTGTTAGCAATGTCTGCTGCGCTTCACTTGTCATATTTCCTTGATCTGAAAATTAGTGGTCATTCTGAATCCTTCTTTCACAGGTTTTAAAACAACAATAATATACAGTGATGTCAGGTAAAGAAATTTACCAACAGTAAGATATCCAGGCCTGTAGCTACAAACAAAATGTGTGCTTAGTTCAAATGAGGTCTAGCATGGGTCTTCTGTAGGAAAACAGGCTTCTGGTCATAGGTAGAACCAGCCGGGGAAGGAATAAGTATCCAAAGAAATGAGTGTGGAAGTTGGTTAATAAAGCTTTGGTTTCTGAGGAATTTTACCGTTTGAGAGGTTCAAAAGAAATCATGGTCCAGATTTCAGGACTGGTGTTAAAAATGTAGTGATAGACTCATGGGGCCATTAAAGGCACGGGGATGACAAAGCAGAGCCCAATGGTCTCCAGAGGTGCATTCATTCCACCTGACAACAAGCCCAGAAGGCGGAGCAGTCCTCTGAGCAACATCGTAGAAGTATGGAAATCAAGAATGAATCTAAAAGGCTCTCCCTTCCCCTTCCCCTTGCCCAGGGAGCCCAATAGTCACAACTTCTCCCCGATAATTTATTTTCCTGCAGAATATGACTTAGGACAATCCCTTCTTTTGACAATTGCCGCCTTTCAGCCCTAGGTGCACGCACAATTTGCAGGGCCTGCTGTGCTGGGGCACTTCCCAGGTCTGCTCACCGGCAGTGCTCACCAGGACAGCCACACTTCAGGGGCTGCACCCACTGCTTCTGGGGCCTTGGAAACCATATCAAGCATGTGATTCTTGTGCTTAGCATGGGAACTAGCTCCTTCCTTCCCAGGTTTTGGCCTGTTTTTATAAAATTCTCTCTGAAAACGACCAATTGTTTGGAGGAGGGGAATTCCAGGAAGCCACAGGTGGGGGCTTTCAGCCGGCAGTCTAGGAGAACATCCAACAACACAGCAGTTTGGGGGCTCCAATTCTAACCCTGTATCTAACAATAAAAATCTCTTTGTTTTCAAAAGCAAATCAAATCCCAACCAACTTAGAAAAACAAAACAAAACACCACCAGGAATCAAAGCTCAATGGTCTTGTCCAGTCTGTGCTGCTGCCAGAAGGGAAGGCAGTGGCTCTGTACTCCCTTCGTTGTGGGGTCCACGCAGCAGAGGAGGTTTAGCTCATGTGGAAGCGGTGCTCCCCCCGTGTGATGTGGGATGAGAATTCGTACCTGTCCTGGCTGTGGTAGCCGCACATGTTGCACTCAAAAGGATCACGGAAGCCGTGGCAACCCATGTGGATGGTGTACATGACGTGGTCCAGGAAGAGCACCCTGCAGTGTTCGCACTTGTACACCTTCATCTGCTCCCCGCTCGTGCCGATCACCCGGAAGGCGTCCTGGGAGCTCTCGGAGGCTGCCCTCAGCACGTCGTAGGCAGGGTGCTCCTCCTTGATGGACAGACCATTGCGGGCATGGGGGTTGATGTGGTTGGTCAGGTAGATGAGGCTACCCCGCTGCTCCTCGGTATTGCTCTCGGTGTCTGTGGAGTCTTGGCAGCTGTTGCTCGGGGACGCCTCCCTCTCGGAGGACACTGACTTGGCCTTGGAGAGCAGCAGTAGATTCTCCACGGCGCTGTCCTGGGCGGAGTGGTTGGACCGCGCAGGGCCCTCAGGGTGGGGCTTGTGGAGCTGGTATATAGGGCTGATGACTGGGCCTACCTCGGAGCTGCCCGGGGGTGTCTGCACCAGGGGGCGCAGTGACTCGGCCCCCAGGTAGCTGATGGCGTTATTGATGGCTTGGTCCATCACATGGGTCTGCATCATCTCATTCTCCTTCTCATAGCTGGCACTGCTGTCATAGGGCATGTCCGACAGGCACTTGTCCCCTGTGGGAAGTGGGTGAAAGTCAGTGAGGCCCAGATTTCCTAACTGTGTGGCAGCAACAGCTGAACTCTACACCCAGGCGGGGCACCCAACCTTGCGGTGTGCGTAGACATGCAATATGAACACCTCCCAAATAGAGCAGGGTGAGCTATCTCTGCCCTGTGGGCACAGAGCACAGGGATCTGCCTGGGGTTGGCATTTAAAGAAATCTTGTTGGACAAATTAACAAATGAACAGTTGAACCAAAGACAAGTGTGTCAATTTAAACAGCAAACATTCAAATGGACTAAACCAATACTTGCCTTTTACTATGGATGGTATACTTAAACATTATTATATTTAATTTAAGATTAATATTTAAATGATGTATTTTCAATATGGTGTTCTAAGTATTTTAAAATAACTGGTCAATTTATCATAAATTTATTTAATTAAAATACATAATTATATGATTATTCACAATAATGTGCAATATATTTATTTAAAATAATATTATGTGACATTTTAAATTCATAACGTTAATGCTCTAGAATAAAACAATCAAAATATATACCTATATATTCTTTAAAATAAAACGATATCATTCTCATCAATAACACAAAGCTGGCTCTGACTTGTGGTGAGAGTTAAGAGGATATTCAGACTTAACATCTCCACATGCTCCTGCGCCTTGAATTCCACTTGCCTGCCAGTCGCTGGCAGCACTGGAGCCGCACGCTACAGAGAAATGTGGTGGGAAGATGGTGGCAAACCTAGGGAGCTACAGGGAGAAGGTGTGCCATTCATGTGTTCTTTCAAAAAATTAGTGAGCATGAGTGATGCCCAAGGAATTACTGCCAAGGACTCGTCAGCAATCGAGCTTTGCCTCAAGAGACTTACGATCTAATATCACAGTTGTTAGGACTAGACAAGCTCGCTTCCCCAGGAAAGGTGAAATCTGAGACCAGAGCTGGCTTCTTGTAATTAGCTTTTGAGTAAACATTTCCATTAAGAAATAAAAAATGAATTTCCTTGAAGATTCACTTTCTTGACATATTGGTTATAAGTTCAGTATGAAACGATGGCTTAACTAGCAGATTTGTTAATAAACTCTTCGCACTCTTATTGTCAGGGCTATTGATTTACTTTCCTTTCAGTGGTGGTTAATTAAGAAGTCAAACACATGAGGCCATCCACAGGCATGTCTAAACTGTCTACATTTTTCCATCACTCTGTTCCTTTCCTTCCTCGAACACATGCTCATCGACTGTCTACCATGGACCAGACAGGAGGGATAGAGAGGTGAGTAAGTAAAAATGGGCCCCATCCTCTTCAGCACACAGCTAAAAGGGAGACAGAAATTGAAGCAGGCTCACACAAACAGGGCATCCCAGTCTGAGAAGCCCTAAGAAGACAAAGGAAGGCTCGCTTCAAGTGTCATATGGCTTCTGACCTAGGAAGAGTCAGTCAGGTGCATGGGGTTTTGTGTCCTGGCTCTGGGAGCAGCAAGAGGAAATCAAGGGGAGGAGCCTGGAGACGGTTGTCTAGTGAAGGTGGTGGGGCCAGAGTCCGGGTGGGGTGGGGCAGGGGCAGCATCAGGTCGGTAGGCAGGGCTAGACCAAGCTGAGGCTTTGTCCAAAGGGAAGTGGAGGCTACTGAAGGATGTGAAGGAAGGAAGTGCCCTTCTCAGTCACTGTGGGGAGAACAGATTGGGGAGGGGCAAAAGTAAGGAATTACTTTCAGGCTGTCCGGAATCAAGGTTTTGGCTGATGGCAGCTGGTCAGAGCGGTGGCAGGAGGATCCCCACGCTCTACGCTGACACCTGACATGGAGCTCTGCTAGTTCTTAGCAACAGAAGGATAAACTACTCTGTAGTTCATAAACTTACTAAGGGTCCTTTTTTTAAAAAAAATCTGCGACCATTGATAATTGCCCAGGAATATGCCCCATCCTAGTATAAAGTATCTTCAGTCTCATTTCATGCTTTGTAATGGATATTTATCACTTAACGGCCTGGCTTCCACTCATTCTAATCTACTGGTAGTCAGGAGTGGCACATGCCCTGATGATGGTATAGCGTGATCCCTGCACCGCAGAAAGAACACTTGCTGGTGGCCAGTCATACCCTCTGCAGAAACGCAGCAGAGTGCAATCTCTATGCAAGCTGGGCGGCAGGGATCACAGAAGTGGTGTTTCTCCATTAAGAGTTAGACGAAGTAATTGGACAGCATTACAGAAACCACATCACTTTTTCCTGTTTTTGTGTTGAGGTGCTAAATGTCTTGTTACGCTAACCTCAGAGCAGAATGAATCCATTCTGGCCTGTACCTCAGCCTATCCCTCTACCAAACCTAATCTAGCAAGGAGAGAGGGGGAGGGGATTTTGTAGCCAATTCTGATAAATATAAAAGTGCTTAGAGCCCCACCCAAAATTGTGCTTTCCTACCTAATCACCCTGTTTCTCCCCAAAGTCATGGTTCTGTGGTTGTGGTTTCCCAAGCAATCACTGAAGTCTGTTGTTTTTAAAGTTGGTATCAACAACAAATGGACGTAGGAAAAAAACAACATATATTTCAGATTACCGTGGTATATTGAAACTACCCACAGAATTTCTCTTCCCTAATACTCCAAAAAGTGAGAAAAATAAAAACCCACAAAATTCACTTTGGCAATCAGCTACAGAAAGTAACATATTCTAATGACCTACATATTTAAAAACGTCAAGGAGCAAGGAAAGATAATTCTAGAATGAGATATATGGCAAAGCCTGGCTGCTGATCTCAGCCACCAAAAACATTAAGTATAAATCAACAAAATCCTTAGCAGTTTCCCTAATATCCTCATATCTGTAGAGAATCAATTCAAATAGGTGTCTTTTTCCACTTCTGATCAAAAAGCAGTTGGAAACTCTGCTAGCAAGAACCAGGTGACACTAGACAAGTGAGCGGTGAGGCTGGCTTCCTTGACAGGAGTGAAGTCGCAATGCTGTCCACTGAGGGGAAACGGCCCAACATCCCCGAGTATTCCTTTGTGTGCTGGGACACTCCCCAACCAGTGCAGTGATAACTGGTGTAGGGCATTGAAGCAAATCGCAGAATGAGGGAGGAGAGCAGAGAGAAAGTCTTTTAACAAAGACTGCACTTTGCCTCACCTGAACTCCTCCCTTCCCATCCTTGGCATTCTTTCAGGATTTAGAGAAGTCAATAGCTCTCACAGGAAAAAAAATGTCTCAGATATAGTGGAAAGAATGTTGAAATGTCAATCAAGCTATATCAGCCCAAGTAGAATAAGCAAGATGAAGAGAAATGTCGTGGTTACTGTGAAAATATTTTCTAGCAATACAATGGAAGAAAGGAAGTAAAACACAGACCAATGAGCCCATCCTAGTATGAAAGCTTAATTTAAGAGAGAGAGGAGATGTCTCATAATGGCTTTGTGACATGGACTCAATAAAAAAAAAATACTGAAAGACAGCATGCTAAGACAACAGAATGAGAAGAAAGAGATTTCAAAGCTCAGGAAACACAATGAGGTCCACAGCAGTATTATTACAGAATTAATATATGGATTAGAGGCAGCAAGTAGTATAACAGAAACTACCAAAAATGGAATTACTGACACAGAGGAAAAACAGAAGATAATAACAGTGAATAAACGTGAAAAAGAGAAAAAAAAACAACTTAAAGAAATGTTAACAGATATGGAAGACAAATTATCCAAAATTGGGACACCTGGTATCCCTGACTAGAGATCACAGTAGACAGAATAAAAGATGAATACACAAAAAAGAGAAATCATCAGAGATAAAGGCAAAAAAAGGGAATCCCCAGATTAACATGGCAGGGAATTTTTATTCAGAATGCAAAACCTCAAGACGCATCCTAGTTAGGGTATTTGAGGCTAAGCTCAGACAAAGAACTCTTCCAGCATTCAAAGAGAAAACGGAAGTCTGGCCATCAGTCCTCATGGCAAGATCTAACCGGTTCTCAGTGGGAGAACAAGAGTGACCCCACCCCACACACACACCTTCAAGATGCTCCTCAAGTAGAAAGGGCCACAGGCAGATACCTCAAACACAGACAACTGTGGAAACAGAGCACCACAGAACCTTCCTGAAAGAAGCTGCTTGGATGTAAAGGCCAATTTGTGGAGAGACTACTCAAAACAAATAGAAATAGTACTAAAAGGACTGGGTCTATGTTGAATCTATTTAAATATAGAGTTAATAATTAATAGTTAAGCTATATATATAATAATTAATAGCTAAGCTAGGATTAGAGAATAGAATGTGAATATTATGAAGCTGGACAATGTAAAAATAATAATGAACAATAATAATAATTAAAAATAATATAAAAGAGCATTTGGAAGTGGCATATGTCTTTATTTTTCAAACCAGTGAATCAGCAGATACTGCCTAAATAGAAACAAATGAATTAAAAAATGACTTGAAGGTCCGAATGTTTTTCATAATGTATCTTCTTAATCTTGGAAAATCTTAGAAAAATCCTTTAAAAAATAATAGTTTTCTGCGAGAAAATATTTACTTGAAGATAAGCCAGCCCTCCAGTTTTTGTTGGTTCTTGTCCACCTCTTAAATTTAAGACATGTAAATATGATACTTTCATTTGAAGTAGCATCTATAATATGATAGAATCTTATAGAAGTATTTCTTTCACATGTATCTATCCATGTATTCATCATCCTATCCACTCACACACATGTGAATAGAAAGATATTTAGAATGATGCTCAGCTACTCTTAATATTGGTAATTTCTGGATGTCGGGTTTTGAGGTGATTTAAAAATAGTCATTTTTGCATTAAAATTCTTTATAGTAACCACATGTCATTTTAATAATACAACAGTTTTTTCTTGAAAAAGAAGAAAATATACCAAGATAATTATAATGGGTAGCAGAAATATTGATCATTGTAATTTTCCTCTTCTATTTCCTGTTCCCTATTTTAAAAATTTTCTCATTACAATCAACAAACAGACTAAAAACAACAACTGGTAGTGCTATGTAATAGTATCCCTTTTCTGATGGGCTTCATCGATCCTGATGAGCTGTATCTGATTATTCTCAGAAGAGGAGATCTTTGATGATATAATGGTGAGGAATGTTGCTAGCAAATACTTATTTACAATTATGCCAAAGATAAATTAAAAAACTGTAAATCACAGATCACATATCAATTAAGCAAAAATATGTGCCATTCGGAGCAATATTCACCATGAAAATAATATCATCTTACATTTTTAAGGTGCTTTCTAGTATCCAGAGCACTGCCACACCCATCATCCCATTTGATCCTCAGAATAGCAATGGGAAGGAGGCAGGGTGGGAGGCATCACACTCATTTCGCAGCTGGGGATGCTGAGTCCAGTGATATACTCAAGGTCACCAGCCAGTCATAGCTGGAGCTGGACCCTGAACCCAGGTCTCTTAAATGCAAACCTGCAGCTCTTTCAACTCCACCACTATTAGGCCAGTACATATGATGATAGCTGCATTCCTACCACTCTGTCTGAATTTATATAAAGGGTAAACTCAACATCTAGAGGTTAAGAGGGACCTTAGAGATCCACTTCCTTTTTTATTTTCGAGATAGAGAAACTGTGATGAGTTAGGAGTGGTTGATTGAAATCCCATCAAACTGAAGTGAGGGGAGTCATTATTCCTCAGGGCAAGGAGAGGCATTATTCTGGAGAGGAACTGCCAATCACCAGGTTCTAGGTAAACACCTAGCGGATACAGAGCCGCTTCAGGCTTCGGAGCCCTTCTTGCCAAATTCTACTCTGCCATCCTCGTCCAACTGTTCCCAATACACTTCTCCTGTGTACTCCACTTCTCCCCAGGAGACTGCTTTTTCATCTTAGGTTTGCTTAATCAGAGCTGGTTTTCTTTCCTTTTTTTTTTTTTTTTTTTTTTAACATGGAAGCATCTAAATCTCAAGACAATTAAATTGTGGTCTCACCTGAGGTGGCCAAGGTAGTTTCACAGAGTCTCATTTGGTTTGAAGTTTCTAAAAGCTAAAAGGGGCTGCACATGTTCATTTTCAAAGCCCTTGGCATTCTCCAGTTTGCCAGCCTGAAGGAAGAAGTCACGCCCAGCTGCCCACGGTCAGTGACCCATAGCAATCCCTGAATACACTTGCTGCTCTGTCTCTGCTCCATCTCTCTGAGCTCTCTCTCCCCATCACACATTGCCTGTCAGGGAGGAGCCTGGATGAGTGCTACCTTCTCACCTCAGCCCGCTGTGACTGAAATCCCACCACCAACAGCCTACCCTCTGCACCTGACTCATTCCTACTCTGTTCAGGAAATGGAAGGTCTCCCTTGCTCTCACCATCTAAAAGCTCACATTTATGTGGGCAACTCCCCACATGGTGTCTCTAGGCAGTGGTTTGCAAAAGTTTTTTTTAACTAAATCCTTCCTTCCCCCACCCCTCCCAACCCTCAACCTATGACAAACTTCTATTTAAAACCTGATCAAATGGAGTCTATTTTCAGTGCGAGAGGGAAGCTGGAGCCCCAAGAACTTGGCCTCTGCATTGTCCTCCTGTCCTTTCCTGTAGGACAGCAGGCATCCTCTGGAACCCCAGGCTTCATTAACCATTAACTCCATTCTACATTCATCTTTTCTCTCAACACTCATTTCTCAGGCTCCCATGTGGCATCTACATCAGGAAGTCCTTGAAACTTAGCAGATCAAAACCAGAACTCTATCTTTTTCCAGAACCTGGCTTTATCACTTCTGCAAATGGCACACTACTCTACTAGAGTCACCATGATTCATGGTTTCCGTCACCCAATTCCTGTGCTGACCCTTACATTCCACTCTCACCAAACTTCCCTCGTCCATACCTTCCTTTCTTCATGCCTATCACTACCACCCCAGTGCTCTTCTTTTTCCATTCACTTATTGGCACTTTCCGTCTCTGTTTTCCAAGATGTTGCTCCAATTAAAAATATGTCAATGGTTTTTTCTGCCTACCAAATTAAGGATACATTTCTTACCTTGGCCTTCAAAGGTCATTCATCCTGTGCCCAGGGTTTAGTGGGACTTTATTTTTATTGTTTCCCTGAGAGTATGAGTTAGCCCAGAACATACCCTGCTCCTCAATCATGTCCCACATGTCCCCACTCCAGCCCCCATAACCAGCATCACCATTTCTCTTTATTTTTATCTGCCTGCCCAGAATTATCTCCCATTCTTCCATTATCAGTAATGTGCTGAAATCCTATTCCTCCGTCAAGGTCACTTTCAGCTTCATGAAACTTTTATTGATCCTCTTCCCTGGATTTGACCCTCTCACTGTGATCCTCTCCCCTAGACAAGACCCTCTCCGCCATGGTCTCTTTCCTGGATATGACTCTCCCCGCCATGGTCCTCTTTCCTTGACCTGACCCACCCCCATGGTATCTTTCTCAGACATGACCCTCCCACCATGGTCCTCTTTCCACATTAGATAATAGTTGACCTTCATATTGAGGGTTTCTAAATGTTCTCACATCCTTGGTGTTAATTTATGTTCACAAAAATCTGTGAGATAAGTAAAGAATGGAACCAAGGCTTGGAGAGGTCAAGTAATTTTGCCACAGTGAGAGTGTTAACATGTGGCTGTGCACTGATAACATCAGGTTGGTCCCCAAGCCTGGTGCATTTCTACTCTTACATCTGACTAGATGTCATTCTTCCTGCACTTACAGAGTCTGGCCATGGACCGTGGTTATAGGAGCATTTGTCTATCATCTACACTGGACAACAAGCTCCTGGAGGAAAGGGCTACCCCACTTCTTCTTTTATCCCTCAAAGTATCTGGCACAGGTAGAGGTTCAACGGTGAAAATAGCAATCTTAGTTGTGTTCCCTCTTCACTAGGCCCTTCTTGTGGGCCAGCTACTGTGCAATTGTGTCCATTAAACCTTCAGAGTTGCCCACATGGGAGTATTATGAGCTCCATGTGAAAAATGAGCATCTGAAGCTTAGAGAGGCTGCTCAGGCAGAGGGTGTCCGGGCTGTGTGGTGAGCCCCTGGCTGAGCCAGGCCCACGCTCCTGACCCTGTGCACGCTGACTCGGCCACCCTCAGATGGACACGAAGTGTCCATAGGTAGATCTCACCAAGTGTCCTGGGCACTGCAAGACCACATCTAGGAAAAACTACTGGTGGAAGATTTGTTATTTTTAAGAGGCCTAGTGGAAAAAATTCTATGATATTTAAGAAATGTTGAGCTTACCAAATTTTATTTTTTAAAAATGAGATTCTCTTTCTTTCTTCTACTCTCAACTAATTACCACCTGAGTCTAAAACACCCGCGTAGTTGTTTTTTAAGAGACAGCAAACGTTTAACTCTTACCAACAAATTTCTGAGGCATAGAGCTCTTACGTTTGGCGACGTTACTTGCTAGTCTGTCCAGCACGAGGGATCTTTCTGATCCTATCTTGCACAGGTCTTCTGCCATTTCACTGTGATTAGCTTCTTCTTTAATGACTAAAGTCAAAGACAGTTAGAGAGGCCAGTTTAGAAACGCTTACTGTGAAAGGATTCAGTTGTGTCCAGTGTTAAATCTGACATTTGTTAAGTGCCTACAAGAGCCAGGCCCTTCGAAGAAATTATTTCTAATCTTGCCAGCAAACCTGCCAGAGAGACAGAGACCAACCACAGCCACCTGCTAATGATGTCTGGACACCACGTATCATCCCCCAAGACCAAAGGAAGAAGCCCCACCACTGTCACCAGAAGCTGGACTGCGATTAATTAATTGTGTCCCTTTGCCAAGTCCTCTTAACTTTTCAAAATACTCCCAAATCCACTAACTTAGTTTATCCTGACAACAGTCCCCTGAGAATCAAAGAACGGTCAAAGCTGGAAATGATCGAAGGGTCCCACTCCATCTACTGGCACAGCGATGTGAGATGCAAAAGAAGCATGGCGGCTCAAAATGCTCCAGGAAATCCTGACAACACGGGGAGAGAACCAGAGCTCTGATCCCTGAACACACAGCAGTTGAGAAAATTGATTAACACCTGCACACTGGAGAAAATCTAGAAATTGTGGAGGTAAATATTGATGCAGGGACTATTTCTCGTTGATCTTTATTTTTCTCTATTGTCCCTTTCTTTCTACAATTGAAGATACAACTTTGTATCCTGCATAATTTCATCTATATTCTAGTCTTTATGGTTAGACTTTTGGAAATTTAACTCCTTCATCTCCCTGCAATTTATCCTAATGTATAAGGAGCTGAAAATGTAAACTGATTATCTTCCAAATAGCCAATCAATTCTTCTAACACCATTTCTGAACAGTCCATTTAAATCCCACCTCCTGTGCTCCCTCCTTTCTTAGATATGACATGCTGACTTATCACAGGTCTTCGGAAGTTTATCCATTTCCAGTATTGATTTGCCTGTCTATTCTTCATAGAGTTCCACATTATAGCTACATTTTAATATAGCACTGGACATCACTCTTCTTTTAAAAAAATGCCAATTCCCTCATTTATTTTTCCAGAGACACTTCATGATAGTCCAATAACATTTACAAACCAATGTTACGTTAAAACCATGCCTTGATTTGGGAGGATACACGTGTCCAGTGTCCAGCCCTCTCTCCCTATTCAATCTTCCATGTTTTTTTTTGCCTCAGTGTGGTTTTGTAGTTTTCTTAATTATGTCCTGCATTTACCTGCTAAAATTATTTCTAAGTATTTTATGTCATTGCTATTATGAATGCCACTTTGAAAACACATTTCAAATCTGTTACTATCGTTGCTATACATAATTTTTTAACATCTGAAGTGTGTGTTTTTTATTTAATGGGCAAAAATAATAGCTCACACCCTGATTTATATAGAGAGACACATAAAACCCTTAAAGTCCAATTGCACTGGCAGAATTCCTTATGTGTCTGTCCTTCCCTGCAAAGTAGGGCACTGGCGCCTGCCCAGGGTGCCTGCAGCACCTCTAGCGGGGTTTCCACTCCAACAGGCCACGAGACCTTCTGGGACCCTCAGAGTTGTCACACTGAGGGACAAATGGGGCCAAAGCTCCAGGATCGCTGGCTATTCAACCCTTGATGCACTTCCCTTAAGGGCATCTAACACAATTTGTGCACCTAAGGCTCAAGAGAAACTTATGTTTTCCGAAAAGACATCAGGAAATTATAACAGGTGACAAACAAGTCTTTTACTAAATACAATTATATTCAGAGAAATTAATCTTTTCTACATCTTATAAGATAGGCTTTGTTTGGACCTAATCCAAAGGAATGGCCCCAACCTGAGTGGGATTAGAGGGCCAAGAGGCTGCTTGGGTGTCCCTCTGAATTCTGATGGGAGCTGGTCTTGCGGGTGTGGGAAGGACAGGAGATGGGAGATGCACAGCAAGCTAAGTGGCCAAGGCCCCCAGCCCCCTGCCTGCCCGCCGCGTCCCAGATGTAGTCTTGCAGGACTTTGGTTAAAGTTTGCCTATGGATTCCCTCAACACTCCCTTCAACCAGCACTAACTGCACATGAGAAGCCTTCTTATCTCCTGGGGATAGGAGCGTAAAGCCATCACTGTGGTGTCCCAAATAATCCAATCACCAAAGGGAATAAATGAACATTTTCGGATTACATTGATTCTGACCACAGGGTTAAGATTTAATATATGTATCGCTGACAGACAAGCTCACTGACATCTGCAGCCAACAGAGGAGAATTAGGTTTCAGGTGCGAATCCTTCGGAGACCTGAACTTGCATGTTCAGTGAAGTGCACGATGCACGTCTCTGCTCCCTGCTCTCACATCTGCTCCTTCTCTCGGGCATCTCTCAGAGCAGTTCCGTGAGGTTGGCCACACACGGATTATCACTCCCACTTAAGAGACGAGCCCTGGGTCATATTTAAAAACAGATTTAGAGATGAAACCAGAACCCAGGTCTCAGTGAAGGGATGCTGTTTGTCCCCTGGAAGAAGGTCTCAGCCTGCTGTGACTTCATGGTCTGCTTCTTTAGCAATGAAAACGGTGGAGAAAACCAATCGACTCTGTCCATGTCTCTTGTCCATTTTGTCTTCTCAATTCCATGTGTATAGTTTTAAGGGGAAATTCAGATTACTGTATTCAATAGGGATTGGTATTGCCGATAAGTCCTAAGTAAATATCTGTTGAGTGGATAAACGGCTTATTTAAACATTAATCAGAAGTATTTACTTCCAAGACCCATCAATTTATTTTTCACAGAAAAATACAATATCTGAGTATTTACATTTTATTTTATTATAATTCTCCTCTCATCCCTTAATCTCCTACCTTGGGGTCTGGCCACAAATTGATAACTCATAAATTATTATTATTTTAATATCTAGTTTCCTTTCTTAAACTAACCTTCAATACCTTTCCATTCTAGAAATAGACCTTAGACTTTGATAAAAGCTAAACAATAACTTAATGGAATCTCCCCATTTTACAGGTAAGAAAATGAAGGTCCAGAGAAATCAGCTGTGAGCCCTAGATCGACAGCAGGTAGGTGGGGAGACAGCACAGGCCACGTGACACGCTGCCTCTCGATGCCAACGATACTGGATTTTCAGGACTTCATTCTGACCATTCTTTCCCCTGCCCCCATTTGCATTAACGATCTGAGTATTCCTGAATGTACTTACTACTACTGAAGTGTACACTTAAAAATGGTTAAGATAGTAAGTTTTACGTCATGTGTATTTTACCACAATAAAAGAATAAAATAAAATTAAAAATTTGAAAACAATAATCTGAGTGTTCCCTGGTGGATTTTCCATTATGAGCCATTCATTAAGGTCAGAAAGCCGGGTAAGGTTCAATAAATTCTGAACTATTAATTTAACTTCTACTGCTCAGTCCAATGATGATTTTTGCAGTGCTACTGCTAAATGAACAGTGTTTTGAACGAGGTTAGCTTCAGTTGATCTATTCGCCAATTTCTTATGTCTTAAAAAGTCAAAAAGGTGCCTTTTATAACACTGCCGTCCCTCTGAGTAAGGTCAGCCTCCTTCGGCACTATCTCTTTCCATCTTTCACTTTACATTATCTAAGATTGGAGTCAAGTGCCATCTTGTAATGCAATATACAGAGAAGCATCAAAGCTCATAAGAAAAAAGCAACTTTTCCTTGAATCCTCTGACACCCGCAATACTGTTAACTGTCAGGCTTACTCCCTCGTTCCAGGGAGATGCTGGTGCCAAAGAATGGAAACACCGCCTGAAAGCCCGTATTTGATCAACTTCATGAAAACACTTTTTAAAGAAAGACTTCACATGTTATTCTGATTACTAGGCACAAGGAAACAATCGATACTCCAGGTTAAAAAAAATACCCCCCCCCCAAAAAATCCCAGAACTTTCAAGGGTCACTACTATCTTAGAAGCTTCCCCAGATGTCAAGAGGGAGGAGTTTTAAGGTCAAACTATTTCTGGTGGGATGAAGACGTGGAAAGTAGGGAAGGAAGTGTAGTGTGCTCCTAGTGAAACTGTGTGATTTTAGCGGGCAAAAACTTCCCTCCATCCCAGGGCGGCGGCGCAGCAGGCCTGCGTTGTGCTCCCAGCGCTGCGTGCAGGGGGCCTTCTTCGCCGCGTGCTGGGGAGGGAGAGCCAGTGCCAGGCTCGCCTCGTGCCTTCAGCGCTTACCTGGGTACAGCGTGCCTGGAAGGCCCATGCTCTGCAAGTAGTTGTGGCAGCGCTCTTTATGTTCCTCTAAAGAGCTTCGCTGTTTATAGCTTCGGCCACAATATCCACATTTGTGAGGTTTACCAACTGCAGAAAACACAATTGAGTTCAAGACCCCAATTAAATATCGGCCTTAGGTGTAATGGGAATGCATGCAATACAATTATTACCAAAAAGTCAAAAAAATTCTACTCTTGAGAGCTAAAAGCATTATGGACTCAGTCAAAATTACTGAATTTAAAAATGTTAATGCCCAGGGGTTTCCTTGATTGTACTAAGAACGCCTGTGACTTGTTTCTTCTTAATTTGTCCACTGTACTGACTATCAAATTCTCACCTACTTAAATCACAGGAGTCTGTCCTTTACCTGGAGGAAACGAACCACCGCAGTGTTAGAATGTGGATTTGAACAACTGGACAGAGACGTGAGGAAGGGCCCCTGTTGCTAGATAATATCTGGATTCACCTCTTAAAGTTGGACTCTTTTGTCCATGTCTCTGCTGGGGGCCAGGTTTGGCATGACACTGGCGCAGATCTAGTGCAACCAAAGTGAATTCAATTCCAGAGTGCTAAACTGGATATTTTGAGGTCTCTAGGAATCTAGAGTGGATAAACATTTTATTTCCAAAATGTATTTTCTTGTTCTAACTTAGAAAAGTTCTGTTTTCCTCCCCAAAGAACTTAAGGATAGTGTGGCTTCCAGATCAGCCCTGTCCAACAGAATTTACTATGAAGACGGAAGTGTTCTCTATCTGTGCTGTCCAATATGGTAGCCATTGTGTGTTCAATAGGGTGGCAACCAGCAATGTGTGGGTATTGAGCATTCGAAGTATGGCCAGTGTCACTGAGGACTGAAGTTTTAATTTTATTTAATTCTAATTGGTTAAAATTAAAATTTAAATACCACATATGGCTATTGGGTACTGTATGGAGCAGTGCTGTTCTATACAATGAGTTTAGTTCTTCTTGAATTTTATTGAACGGTATTTTAGGAGAAGATGACTAGTATGAATTTGCATCACATCTAAGTTTAAAGACTTTAATAGATAACATTTTAAGAGATGACATGGATAAAGGATCTTCACTTACTTATATAAGGGATGTAAATTTCCATCCTAAGACCAGAATCTTCTACTTCCTTCTCATGTTATTAGAATTCACATATTTGAGAATATTACATAAAAATCAATACCATCCAAATAGGAATGTTTGGTAAAATGATTCAACCAAAGTTTATATTGGTTAAATCTCTTTCTTAGTTGAACAGAAGCTATGGTTCACAACGACTAAGAGGAAAACCAAAATTTGACTTCTGGAACATTTAATAGAGGAAGAAAGGGATCTTTCTTTATCTGCAGAAAATGTTGCATCCCTAACATCAGGTAAATAATGTTGAAATATACAATGTTGCCTAAAATTGCACATTTTATTGAGTACTGCCTTTACAAATTAATATAATGTAGATAACCACTCAATATCCTTTCTTGAAAAGCCATAACTTTAGCAAATTCCTATATATATGGCATGGTGTCTGAATACCCATTTTTCTGAGTATATGATTGATTTTAACCCTGCAACATAAGAACTAAAGTATATCTTGAAGCACAGCCCAGTCTTCTGCAGGAAAGAAAGTCTCTAGCTATGTTTGCAACTTCCAGAAAAAACAGCGAAGAAGGAAAGGGGATCCTTTCCCTACCCTACCAGACTGCCCAAGCTCCTCTTGTCATCAGTATGGGACAAATTCTATAGCTCTATCATCACTGACGTGTTGATCTTTGGAACCTCCGGCCACCACCAGTTGCTATAAAGTTGATCATGGTTTTCAGTGGAATGGAAGAGTGACTCTTTCACAATGGAAACCAATGTGGCAACACTTGAGTTCGCAGACAAAGGCTGAGTCTTCATGTCACTCTAGTGAAATTATCTTGTAGAACCTAAATCACTGCCTTTTCCAAGAGCTACATGTCAATGGTACTTTCAGATGATAGAATCACCAGCAGCCCTGGATCAATGATGGTTTTCTCACTACGGTATCATCTATTAGCTCATCAGTGGGTCCATAATAGAAATAAACTGTCTAAAGTCTATCACTGTTATATATAATTACTCAATAAATTAGCCATACTTAGAGAAGGATACCATCATCTCTCAAATGACATAAACAGGCATGGAGCCAGAAGAACCTAAAATACTGCATTAGATGTTCTTAACTTCACAACAGGAAAGAAAGGAGCAGCATCTTTTAAGGACTGACACGCAAGTGGGATTTCTGTTGCAAGTCAGAGGAATCTGGGGATTACGATGATATGGTTGGTGCCAAACTTAGGACGAGCCTGGTATTTTCTGCCTACATGGGAAGTTGTGCTTCCTATTAACCCCAATGTGGTACTACTGTGAATTGTGTTGATGTCTATTTGATCCTTATGAATGATACATGTGAAGTTCTTGGTCCTAGATCCCCTGACTAGGCACCATATGCAAACCATATAATTGTCACATCTGAAGCCTATTCAGACCTAATTTGTCATTTAGTTCCTTGCATGCCTTCACCTCTGGGTGGGACAACACACATGCTCCTTATTATCAACATATGTAAACATTTAAAAATGCTCACTGTCACGTTGTCATCATCCCACTTTGGGGATCTGTTCTCCCTGTCCCCCGCAGCAAAGCCCTCCCCAACTCTGAGCATACATCCTGCCCCCGATGGGGAGGTGGTGGCATTGGCCCTTCCGTTATCCCTTGCTGACCTGCCCGCTCTATTGGAGGAGCAACTCCTTGGCTCTGTATAGCTCCTTTCTTGGAAGATTTTAGGAAGCTCACCCAAGTCATCACAGTTTTCTTCTTAGGAGCATTTTGGGAGCTTCCTCCATGCTGACTATCAGAAATGAGACCAGAATGAGAGGAGATGGCTTAGCTGAACACGTGAGAGAAGTAGCATTCCCAGGACCCTGTGACTTATCTCCCTCTTGCATCCTGGATGAACTTACAGGTACCACTTGCAGGAGAAGACCAAATTTCAACAACACTTGCTAAAATGTGGATCACTCACAGAATTACACATTCATCTGGAACTTCTCTGAAGGTAAATTTTAGAAACGTACCTTTTGGCATCGACTCAAGCTCCCCCTTCTACCGGAAGTCTCTCCCGACACCTCCCAACCCAAGACCTACTGTCCCCTGTCTGTGCTCCCACCATCCCCTTGAATGCCTGTGTCATGGCGCTTGTACCCCACCTGTCTCTGGGGTGCTTAGTGAATGCGTGACAAAGAAATGACACAAGGAAGAGGGCTCTAAAACCCAACATTAACTACACTCATCGCATTTGGGGGAGACAGCCTGAACCCAGGTGAGCCCTCCCCAAGGGCATGGCGTCCCCTCCTCTGGGAGGTGCCTCCTATAGTGCTGCCTTGGGGATGTCAGGAAGGAGCTGATCTGAAGCTTCTTCCTTCCCATAACGCCCTGCTCAGCAGAAGTCGAGGATAACCAGATAGTTTGGATGGTGAGCTCCACGAGGGCAGAGGTGAGGGCCCGTCATCTCCCGCTCCCAGAGCCTTCCAGGGTGCTATGTCAAATATCCCTGCTGGATGGCATGCGCGGCACAGCACACAGGCCCTACACTTTCTTCCTCTGACCTGGAAGATTATGGGGCCACTTGATAATGAGATAGCAAAGAAGACGTCTCAGGAGGCAGAAGATCTAATCTAATCAAAGGCGGATTTGTGCTTCACAGGTTGGGAATGTTTCAAGAATTGTTGGGTGTTCATGCTAATCATGATCTAGCTGAGACTCTGGATTATTTGGGGTGCATTTATTAGAATCTGGTAACAGCTCCAAACTGGCCTCTCCAACTGAGGCCTCCACTGGCTTCTGGTGTGAGAGTTTCACTCGGGCCCAGTCGGGGTGGTGTGTCCTCAGGTAACAGGCATCCACCCACTCAGGACAGATAACGGCAGGCCCTGAACCGTCGTATCTATCACCTTTCCAAAGAAAACTATCCCAATGATCACCACTGAAACACTGTGTGAAACCGTAATAAGTGTGGCTTAACAATTGACATAAGGAAATGCATCTGGAAGCTGTTCAGGCACAGCAGCACACTCAGTACAAGTCCAGCTGGCAAAAGCCTTTTAAAAAAACTGCACTTACCTGACAAAACGGGATGAGGAGGCCTCTTTTGAAATACTCTAAGGTGAGACTTCTGTGTGCGTGATTTCCCCACCCACCTTCTCTGTCTCAGTGGAAAATCAGAGAATACAAGGGAGAGAGGGGGAGACCGATGGCACAGTCAGTGGCAGCCAATCCCCGACGGAGGGCTGTGCCCCGGGACCAGGCCAGCCAAGAAGGAGGGCTCCTGTGCACATGCGACGTGGGGCCCTGGGACACCTGGGTGGCCTCCGAGTCCCTCAGAGCCCGGGCCTTTGCCCAGAGCACCTACCAGAGTGCGTCCTCAGGTGGCCCGTGAGGGCATCCCTCCGGCGGCATGCGTAGTTGCAGAGGTGGCACTTGAAGGGCTTCTCCCCGGAGTGTAACTTGATGTGCCGGAGCAGGTTGCCTTTCTGAGTGAAGGAGGCCCCACACTGATTGCACTGGAAAGGCCGTTCTCCTGGGAGGAGAGGAGGGACAGTCGGTGAGACAAAACTCGGCGCCGAGACAAGAGGGGGACGCGGCGAGAAAGTTGTTTCCCACGGGGCCCGGTGACTTCTACCGGCTGCAGGTTTGATAGAACATGAGGCTTTCAGACTAAACCTGCCAGCTCCTTAACGCTTCACTGGTTGGGTCAATTTGATCTGAAAATCTAATTTTTTTTTCCTAAATCAGAATGGCACATCACAATGCAAATTCAAACTCATTTAAATAAAGTGACTGCAACATTTTGTGATGAAGAGCCACTCTTCCTGATCAGCAGTTTTGGAATAAACCAATATCCAATTTTGCGTGTTGTGGCATTTGGTGGGGTTTTTAATGTGGCTTTTTTCAAAGGGTCTTTAAAATATGCCACTGAAGCAGCAAAATAAAAAGGAAACTCATTAAAAATGCATTTCAGGATCACAAGTTCATTTCAGCGTTACATTCTTATATTTAAATGAAAGGCACTTCATTATAACAGTTATAATAACTTCTTTTCATTTACATTTTCCCTGTATCCTCCCTTTCAATTTCTTCTCCATTACCTGTCTGTCCCTACGCAGGCAAATCAGGAGAGAGACAGACAGAGGGAGTGTGAGGAGAGAGCGGGAGAGGGAGAAAGATTGAATAAAATTAGAAGTTAAGAAACTGTGAAGGAAGCTCCACATCATCCAGAGAAAAGTCCCGAATCTCGCTGCAGCAGGGCATCAGAATCAGAGCTGCACTGAGGTTTCTAGCTTTCTACTCTCCTAGCAAATCCTAAAATCTTTAAGCTATTATTGGTCTATATTCACAGAAGACACCTTATCCTTGCAGTACGAATCTTCTAAGGGATGCATTTAGTCGCTATTAGGAATTCTTCTGGGGGTGGCACTATGGAGCTGTGACTACGGAAACATCTGAACCTCTCCTGTGTGTGGCAGCCTGCGTTCCCTCCATTCTGGATCCAACAAAGGGACAGGCAGCTATCTGTGAGAAAGAGGCATGCTATCAAGCAGTCATAGGTCCGAGAATCTAAATCGATGAAGATTTCACTCAGCGCTCACTGAAAAGAGTGCTCCATTTGTCACGTTTAAGTAAACATTAAAGCTCTTTTGAAGACAAATGCATTTTTTTAGACGAAGAGCTGTAGGTGACCGCGCAATCTGGTGTTGAGATACCATGAAAATATACTTCCTACTAACAACTTTCTCTTAGGAAAAAAGAATGTATTAGAATGTATATTTAACAATTTTCCTAATTGAGTAACGTGATTTTGGCGAACAAGGCAGCACTTATCAAAAGCGACTAAGTAGAAGCATATCTGGCACTACCAAAATCTACACCAGATTAAATTTAAAAGTTTGTACGGCACCTGAATTTTAATGATTATCATCATTTTTATTTTTAAGTGGGCAGTGTAGATGTGCTATTGTAAAAATTGCAACTAATTTACAATCAAATTCAATTATAGACCAATTGGAGGGATACTGATACTAACGAGGATGTATTCGGTATTTTCCCAAGTCTATGTCTGGATTGGACTTGGCTGAGCAGAGAAAGGATTTAAAGTCAAGCAGGTGGGAAGATGATGGTGAAACTAACTATAACTAGATCTCTGAGCTACAAGCCTGTATTGCATGAGGAGATTAAAATAGCTGGTAGCAGGTAGCCCCGAGGAGCGTCCAATAGACAGAGATCATTTAATCATCTATTAGAAACCCTTCTGGGTTTTCATGGCACACACGTGCATGAATGTGCGTGTTCAACTCCAAGTGGACAAAAGGAAAAGAGAAGTAACGTGGTCACTGTGTGCAGGGAGACCTGAGGGGTGGGGGAGAATATGCCTCCAACCACAGTTCTCATTCTAACAGGGGGGACCCTCAGGCTGGGTGTTCCAGAAAGACAGTTGGGAGATCTCATGCCATAAAAATGCTTATGATAAGGAGGCACGACACTCCTGGTGACACGAATGTGTTATGTTGTGACCCAAAGATAGTGAGCCCAACCCTACGCTGTGTGAAGTACCCCTTCCACACTGAGCAGGTGCTAGAACTCTTTGCTTCTACTCAGGTCTGAAGGCTGGAGGGAAAACCCAGGTAGGACCCTGCAGTGGAGCCAATGTCTTGGAAGGAGCAGCAAGTCAGCCGAGATAGAAAGGACAGATCATTACAGCCACGTCCTTTCTCAGAACAGGGCAGGAAGGAGGTCGTTTCTTCAAGAGTGAAATCTGTCTTCTACTTTGAATCAATAGTTCTCGTGTGTCCTGCTGTGCCTGGTGTCTTACTCCTGCTGGCAAGCTTTCCTGGAAATCTATTTGTTTCTTATTGTCAGTGCTTGCACGAATATGTAACACAGGGAGGGAATGGGGACTCCTGAAGAAAGTGTTCCCTGAAGCGACAACACAGAGCGTCCAACTCAAGGTAGTTTCCCTTTGGAGGTGTTGACAGGAAAGGGAGATGACTCCGGAGCTGGAAGATAGAATACGGCCCACGTCATTTTGTGTTCTGTTGGCCAATGTCAATCGCTTCTCTTCTGCAGGTCAATAGCTTGCTTATTGTAGCTAAGTAAGACCAAGTTTCTCCAAGGTTGTACTGTCTTTTATTTAATCGAGATGAGGACTTTAACATCATTAATTCAAAATTTAGTTTTTAATCCCAGTGACTCTATAGATGGGCCATTTCAGGGATTCTGTAAGAATGTTTGAGCCTTTTTAAATAACTTAATTGGGTAAAAAAGAAAGTCTTCATGGATGCCTACATTATAAAATTTCTGAGGGTATATCAGAAGGAGAATTAAAAAATATACCTAAACTGCAAGAATTGACGTGGCCCTATTGCGACCACACCTTGGAGCAGCATTCCAGTTCCATGCTGTTATGCAGCACGGTGACAGTGCCTTCTCACCTCACAGGTGGGAACAGAGTAGGCACAGGACCATATGGAACAACCGTAATTCAGACACTCATCTTGATCTTGATTGTTTAAAAATCTCATCATTAGGAATAATGCTGCACATTTACGTGGCCGTGTTTCCCTGCACTTCATGATTCCTTCAGACCACTCTTCCCTCTAATTCTCACATTTACCCTGAGATGTGGGCGGGAAAACCATCACTACTACACTCGAATTAAAAACATGAAACTGAGCAGTGAAACTAGGGAAGTGGGGTGGTGGTATCAACGAACCACTTAGACAATGACACCAACGGCACCTCACCGAGGGGGTGACACGGGCAGAGGCGAGGGTTCTACCAGGGGAGACTGCTCCTGCAGTCTACCAGGGAAGGAAGCCCTGGTGTGCTGGCTCAACTCGGTGCTGGGCACTTGCAAGTCCTGCTTCCTGGGGGAAATTTGTTAGGTGGTACCTAGTCTCCCAGATGAAGAGCCCTCTGATACGGGACTGTCTAGTTTGCTACTCCACTGCACCAGTGCCACTATCTACAGGTGCTCTGCGTCCATGCTCCAGCACCCCCAGGATCTTCCAGGGTCTGAATCAGAGGCCGCAATTTCACAGGATGCCCGAGTGATTTATATGCCCTTAATGTTTGAGAAGCACTGCACTAGAAATGGTTTAAAGTTAGAGACTTCAGGGCAGAGTCGGTGGTTAGCAAAGCATGCTTTTCTAACACATATCACTCAGATCCTAGGAAAATGAAAACCTTTCTAGCATGTGCAGCTACTCAAACCTGGTTTGGCCAGTGTATTTCTGCATCTGCCTGTGACCCTCTATATTTATGCAAGTGGAAACGCATTATGAAGGCAATCCATAAGTTCATTGTTTCAGGTGTTCTGTTTTTAAATGAAAGGCGAGGCAGGAACTATAAAACTGATGGTGTGTATGTCCCTAGTTCTGGAATTTACTTGTTCTGTGAGTGGAGAGCTCTGTGTTGGTGTGCACTTGGCACTTAGCCGCTATTAGTAGGGAGAGGTTGGCTACCTCTCCCAGGCAAACGGCTGGGCTACCCTGCCTATCTATCCTTGGTAGGTTTGTTCTTTAAACACAATTATTCTTTTTAGCAGGGCAGGCAGTCATTATATTTTGGCAATTTAGTATGCCAGAATTTGATTCATTTATCAAATATTTATCTAAGACTTTTCACTGTATAGTTAGGTTTTACATGAATTAGCAGGAAGGTCCACTCCTCTATCAGGAGTGTATTACCACGGGTCCCAGTGCATGCACTTCAAGGTCCTCATTGCAAAAGGGGAGAGCATGATGACTCTCAGGCAAGCCTAACTTAGGGCTGGAGGTGATCGGTTTATTTCCCTGGATAATGTGAGAATTAAGGGACACGTTAGGAAAAGTCAAGTTTGCTTAATTTTAGAAGTTACGTTTTTATTGAAAAGGAATGTTTAGTGAAAATAAACGTATTTTATGATTTTCCAGATGTACTACAGATAAAAGGCATCATTTTGGAAACTGCCCTGATTCAGATATAAAAACTACAACTCCACAAAGATCTGCATTCTCTGACAGTTTTTTTGCTCAACAAATTTTCTGAATTCTTGTTAATTTTTGATAATCATATATTTCTTGGCCCCAAGTAAGAATCACATGATTTTGAAGCCGCCTTTCTCACTTCCCTGAGATATCTTATGAAATCTGTTGTGCCTCCAAAGCATGCTTTTCCTCTGATTGGTTTGTTTTTCTCCTGTGGAGTACAGTGGCAGATACTGGCTTTATGATGACCTACTGGTGCCAGCCCCTAGACAAGGATGACTCAGGGTTTCCATTTTATGTTTAAACTTTCGGTGACCACTAGAGTTGGTGAATTTATTGTGTTTTGCTCAGCCTTAGGGCAAAACAGTAAAGTTTCTGTTCAATTCAAAAAGTCACTTTACGAACACAGTTAAAGGTAAAATGCATCCTCATTAATACTGTATTTTGAAGATTGTCTAGTGCCATTAGTGGTGACTTGACAGTTTTGGTGGAAAAATATGTGGCTGGTCAATTGTCATGAGGGAGCACTGGGGAGCATGGAGGGGGACGGACCAGGACTCTACTCCCCGCCCCTCAATGTGAGAACATCTCAGGACCTTGAGCACAGACACCCAGCACTAGATTGTCCTCATTCCTTCCTTTTTGGACACAGAATATTATATTCGCTTATGCTTCAAAATCCTCTAATAGACAGGGATTTGGTATTAAATTCTTTACCAATTTTAGATGAAAACTAGTGGCAATCAATCTTGTTCAGAGTCTCACCTGTTGGAGGGTAAGCGATCTGAAAATTGATCTGAAATTCTTTCTGAAAGACTAAACTTTGCTGCTATTCCATCATTCACTAACATTTGTAAAACTCAAGCCCTGTTAATTTGAATACTAACGAATGCGTATTTTACTCATGGTTTCTCAGTAGGAAATTTGAGGCGTTCATTTTGGTGTATTGATCTTTCTGTTTTGCTTTGTCTTGTTTTCTGAAGGGTGAACCCCTCGGCACCTTCCGTCTAACGGCTCCACTGCCCCTATTTAGGGGGCATGACCTCAGGCCCTTGATGGAACTTGCATGTGAGGCTATTAACTTTTCCTTTCTGTTTTATTGCTTTAATTTATAAGGTCAAATTGGTGCATGTTTAGAAGTCCGTTTGGATGCTGTTCCAGAATGAGAACGCTATGCCCCGCTATGACAAGGAAGCCCGGCAGCTCTGCCAGCCGATCTGAAACAGGCTCAGAACACTCAACTAACACAGGGTATCTTTCTCCTGCGACGTCAGCTAAGACAGGATATATTTCTCCTGCAACACCCCACAGACCTTTTCCAGGCCATTAAAGGAGGAACTATGCCAGGCCTTACCAGTGTGGCTTCTTTTGTGGACCATGAGCACATTGGGGCCGATGCAAATTATCCCACAGACATCACACTTTAGTTTGCCGTTAGGAAGTCGAATGCCTCCAGCTCCTGACAAAGTTTTGTTGCCTTGGCCACTGTGGGAGCCATTCATTTTCTCTCCTGAGGCATCAATCATTCGTAAATCCTCCGCACATTCTTCCCCATTCATTTCACAGGCACGCCCATTCTCTTCATCACTCTGAGTCTCTACTTTAACATTACTGGCTGAAAGAAATAATACAGGGTGCCACTCAGTGTCATCGCAAAAAACAAAACAGAACAACACAGCAGCAAAAAGACAACCAACTAGAAGCGGAGCGCTCCTCAATAGAAGGTTCTTCGCAGCTTCTACCCCAGGGACAGAGCTCTGAGCTTCAGACGTGTGGCCTACAGGGCCTCGAGGGCACGCCCGAGGAAGCATGGCAGGTCTGGGGTGATCTGCCTGCCCTCTCCATAGGTCCGAATGGCAGTGTTGAAAATGCACGAAATAGCTATTTATAAATTCTCACACGGTGGGATCCACAGGGACAGCCTGTGGCACCTCCGGAGTGAGCTGAGGCTGAATCCTACCCTCACACCTGAAGGGGAGTGTTGATCACATAATCCGGCTCCTGAGGGGGTGTGACCTGGTTTGTTAAAATCCCTCACAATTAGTTAAGCCTGAAAAAGTCTCCTACTTACAATGCTAACTTTCCTTATTTTATATATCAATAAACTTTGGGATAAAACCAGCAAATACTTGCTCAGATTTCTGACCACAGATTCCTTAAAGATTTTTGTTTGTTTCTTTGGAATAGGATCATTCTAACTCCTTGTTATTTCACAATAATAATAAAACCTGTGTCCTGAAGTAGAAGCATAATTTTTTACATTTCTTCCAACTGCCTAAGGGTGGGTTGTGATAGTGTGTGAATGTCAGAGATCTAGAACGGCTTTTCAAAGGGAAAGATGCGTGGGGGGAGGGGTGGTGAAGCGCTGGTGTTAATGACTACAATAACCACTACTTACTCTGCATTATCATTTCCTTTAAGTCACATTTAGGGTAATTATTTATGTCACTTGCATATTTTTCTTGGTAAAGAAAATAAGACACATTTTGTGTGTATTCCGCTGAAACACTGACTGATGTGAATGGATGACTCCAACACTGTAACGACCAGGAGAAAATGCTCTTACACCAAGACCCATCATTTTCATTATAGTCTCTACAGATTAATAAGAGGATGTAGGTAAATTTTGCTAAATAAAATGATCACTGAGATAGATGACAATCATGACTACAAAATCTTTGACAGATGTTTTGAATCAGTGGTTCTCAAAGTTTCGCCCCTGGACCAGCATCATTAACAGCACCTGAGGACTTGTTGGAAGAGCAAGTTCTTGAGTCCATCTCATACCCATTGAACCAGACACGGGGCGTGGGGTGGGCGTGGCCCGGCACTGCCTGTCTTCATGGGCCCTCCAGGGGATCGTCCGTACACCCAAGTCTGAGAACAACCATTCTAAACAGTCAGCTTGGTGAATAACACTCCAAGTTTATTGTATTCAACACATTCCTCTTGATTTGGAAATCTAGAGCCCAGACTCCAAAATCAAAACTCCTGGTTTGGAATCCCATCTCCACTCTTCATAAGCTCTGAGAGCTTGAGCGAGTCATGTAACTTCTCTGTGTCCTGGTTTCCTCATCCGCAAAAACAGGAACTATCAGCATTGGCCTAACAGGGATGTTGTGAGGATTTAGTGGGTAAACAGATGGGAAGTTAGCTCAGGAGAGTGACTGGGCATGGCAAGGGGAAGCTCATTCCCAATAGAGCCATAACCTGGAGGGGGGTTCTGTCTCACCCCAATAATGTTCACGGCACTTACCACGTGCCAGGCACACAGCAATGTAAGTGCACTGTAGCATTTAACTCTTGCGACAACACAATAAGGGAGGTACTATTATTATCCTAATTTATAATTGAAGAAGCTCAGGCACAGAGAGGTTGAACAGCTTGCCTAAGGTCACACAGCTAGCAAGTGGCAGAGCTGGGAGGTACTGCAGGCAGCCTGGCTCCAGTGCCCACATTCCTAACCACTATACTGCCAAGGTTTTCCCATTAGCTCTTTGGAGAAAGACTTACAAACAAATAAGTGAATGGAATGAATTAGCTAGAACATGGGCCACAACTGTCATTGTGGACTTTGAGATCCCAGAAATAAGGCAGTGTCTCTTCCCTACAGATCCCGGCAGGACCATCCCGAGAAAGCCAGTCCCCAAATGCGCCTGCCTACAAGATTCCAAAGAGCAGAGACTGAGAAGCCCCCGCATCCCAGCAGCCTCCTGATGACTTCTCCCAGCCGCCAAAGCCAAGGGACGGAGTCCTACTGACACAGTGCGTGTGGGAGACGAGACCAGCAGGGGAGCTGAGTGTGCTTTCTGACGTCTGAACTCTCTGGAAGTGGTGCTCCCAGGTATGTGTGTTTACCTTTTCAGGTGGAAACTGATTCACTGGGGCTCATTGCCGACCAGGTTCTGAACCAAGTGCTCTGGAAACACGACAACAAAGCTTCAACGACCTCTCAACTCTTTAACCTGGGACTAATTTTAACCATCCATCTCATTTTTTCGTTTGTTCATTTGTCTGTTTTAATGAGATCAGGGCATTCCAGAGCACAGTGGAACAAATTATTGCTGGTGTGGCAAGTTCTCCAACCACTGGAGCTGAGACAGAGGGCTGAAGCACAGGGTGTAGGTCAAGGGCACCCATGGCTAGAAGAAGGAGCCCACACAGATGAACAAGGGCTGGGATAATCCCCTTAGCATGCTCCTCCACGTGGCTCCATTTCATAAATTTTGAGGCAACCAGTTAAAGAGAACTGACTCTTGCTTTCCCAAGGATACACATATTGCACTTTCCAGAAACTCCCACCTGTTCTGTTTTATTAAGAAAGACAGGTATTTGTGCCACGCTCTGGTATGCTCTGTGGCTTGGGCTGTTGACGACAATGTGGTCCCTTCCTGGGGAGGAGCAGAAGGGCAGGAAAGCATGGGGGTGACCTTTAGGGTTCTGACATCAGGAGCTTGCAGGCTGCTTACAGAGGAGGCCAAGCTGTGTCAGGAGGGAAGATGACGGGGACAGCAGGAGACGAAGGCATGGGATGGGTGTTGCCTTAAACACCACAGCGGTCCTCAAGCCAGAAGACTTGAGACCAGTCACTAATTTGACCAGTGGTTCTTGAAGGCCGGATTTTGTCATTATCATGCCAGGTGAGATTTACTCTGAGAAGTGTAACAGAATCAAAAAACCAGGAGGCTTAAAGGGCATGAAAGCTTATCATAAATTATCTTGAGATCATTGTGGATCCCCAGGTACATCAGTTCCAGAATAGGCAAAGCTCAAATAATAAAATTCAGGATTCTGTGATGTCCTAGGTTTCTGAAAAAAGTATGCAAACAATACCCCCATGTCACTGTGGCAAGGAAAAGGAACCACAAAGAACGAGACCTGGACAGAGGGCTCCATATAAGTGAGCGCCAGACACATTTCGAAATAGGAGTCAGACGGCAGATGCTCAGCGTTTTAGAGATGGAAGCTTGCGAGCACTCTGGGGACAAATTCTAGGTCACATTATGACAGGAAAGGTCTGTGGGGACAAAGAGAGGGAAAGGATGAACATGGGGGTCAAGGGGATCTGAAAGAACAAAGAGGGCAACACTGTCAGCCGTGGGGCACGTCAGACGTGTGAACTGTCTCTAAATATGGGGGAAAGGTTCTCATCTCTTTGTGGACAAATGCAAACTGGGTGCTGGCCTCATAGAAGAGATGGAGAGATTTCTGCCCACCTGAGGAGGGTGTCCATGAAAACAGGGGCTCTCATCTGGCTAGGAGGAGAATACAGGCAACATGCTTATTATTTTTGTAGACGACAGAAATCGGGGATGAAACTATCTTAATAAATGGCAACCATAGACTGGATTTCAAAAGTTGAAATCTAATAGATGTAAACGTAAGGTCCACTTAAGTTAAAATGCACATTTTAAAAACACAAGCTCAGGATAGGGCATCTTGTCTTGACTTGGGTAAGTGTGACAAAGTCTTCTGGGGTTTTAGCTGATGGTAAGTTCCATTACTGATGTGCCAGAAAAAAGAAAACAGAAGATACAGTCTTGGGGTCTTGCGTTAATTGCAATCTGGAGTCCCTTGCACTGGCCATGGCACATGCCTCCTTTAAAAAGGGCAAGCACAGACTGGAGTGGGTCAGAAATAAGGAAGTGAGTGAGGGACTGAAACCAATTCTTATGGGGACGTCGACAGGACTGGACATGCTGGGCTCAGAGAAACTTCCAGCTGAGATGCCTCCTCAAGCTCCTTGAGCAAACAGGACCAGCACTTCCTGGTCTGGCTGCTGAGCGAAGAGAAGGCACGAGGAGAGACACAGAGGGATCAGAGGTTCCTCCAAGAGAGGAGCTCCTTCCTCGCCCTGAGAGGCCCCCACCCAGCACAGAGGAGCAGAGGGGTGATGCGTGGAGCTTGTGGGCACCAAGGCTGGTGGGCTCCTTCTGTGGGCAGGTTGTCACTTAGGGAGCCGGAAGGGATGCACACTTCTGTGGAGGGCTGTTCCTGCACCTCTATATGCACTTGTGAGGGAGGCTCAGCGGGTCTGTATGAGTGTTTGTGGCCCTGTTATTTTGAATTCCCCAAGCCTGCAGAAGTCAATGGCACCAGCAGATGCTTCAACTAGTGAAGGGGGAGTTGGGGAACGGATGACTAGCATTTATTTAAGCTGTCCATTTCCGGAAGTTTCAATCCAACTGGAGCCCACCTAAAGGGATATGCAAGACTGTTACTTTACTCTCTTGAGAATGCCACATGGCCAGTCCTTTCGTTTTCTTCATTACTGGCACTCCTTGAATGGTGCAGATCAGACCCGCCCCATAATCAATTCCAGGAAATTGTTGGTCTCTCCTAATTTGCATTTGTTGTATTGTGGTCCGCCCCACGGATGTTGTCTCTATGGAGAGCTAACCAGGGCTCCTGCTGACTGGCCTACCCTTCTCTGAATCCCTAAATCACTCCATCTGCTCCATCTCCTTGGAGCCGGAACTGCTTAGCTGCAGTATGGTTTCTATGAAATGTTATACTCCTCTGAACACAAGGATTATACTTATAAATATTTTGTAACTCCATCCCTCCACCATTTAGAAAAATGTCGAACTCAGTAAAGTGCTGAACTGAACCAATTAAATATAGAACGTGAAATGGAGACCCGTGCATTTTTTCACCCGGGAACACTCTGGCTCAGGGCTAACCCTATAGCTCTTTCACCAACTACCGAGGGCTAATGGGCAGGGGCCCAGTTTTATTACTTAATAAATGTGACTTATATTAAGAGTGAATGCCTTCAAACCCTGAGTCAAAGCTCCTTTCTTTCCTAGATGCTCTTTAAACTTAGGGAAAACTAAAATCTTACTGCTACATATTTTAGACGCCTACTCTGTTATTAGTAAGACAACAGTCTTGAGAGAGACCCCCAACCCCCTGAATGGAAGGCAGACTTTAGCATAGAGACAAGCTTAGCGCTAAAGAACCTGGAATCCAGGGAACTCAGGGTCAACAGGGCCAAGAAGCTGGGATCTGCTGCCAAGCACTGTCTGTGCTCATGAATGATTAACGCATTTTAATGCAAAGGTAGAATGTGCATTGGCAGTCCCCACCTCACAAAGGCGTTAGGTCTCCTCTTCATCTGCTTTTCTCTTTTAGAACATGTCTTTATCTTTACTGGTAAGGTAAATGTTTGCTACTCAGACTCCATTTTTCCACTGAAAAGATATCCCGAATCGTCACTATAGCATGAGTTTGGGCCATGCAAGCTTGAAATGCTCAATATTTTAAATGAAAAATGGAAGGCAGAAATATTCCTGCAACTGGTGACTAGCAAGTAAAAATCAAATGGAATTTATTTAAGGGGCCGGCCCCATGGTCGAGTGGTTAAGTTTGTGTGCTCTGCTTTGGCGGCCCAGGCTTTCACTGTTCGGATCTTGGGCACAGACCTAGCACCGCTCATCAGGCCACGCTGAGCTGGTGTCTCAAAGCAGAACTAGAAGGACCTACAACTAGAATATTCAACTATATACTGGGGGGCTCTGGGGAGAGGAAGGAAAAAAACAAAGATGGCCAAGAGATGTTAGCTCAGGGCCAATCTTTTAAAAAAACAATTTAAGATACATCTTGAATGAGGAAAATTAAATGAAAATTTGATATACAAATACATATAAAAAATAAAGAGGAGATAATGTAGATGCTTGTGCGCTGCTTCCTAAAGAGATTTATGAAAACTTTTAAGGGTTTTTAAGGTTAATGAAACCATTTATTATAACTGATATCATTTAAAATGTACGGTTTTTTTTTTCTTGTCAAGATGCATGATTAGAAGTATTTTTATCCTTATTTGATGTTTTAGGCCTTTAAATGGAATGAAGTCAGGGAGAAAGAAAAGAGGAAGAGTGTGGAAAAAAAAGTTATAAGCATATTTACATTTTCCTCAGGCAACTAAGGGCACAAATTGGGACAGAGGAGGCAGAGGCCATCAAATAGCTTATATTTTTCATTCTTAAGGAAGAAAAGAGGTGGTGACGGGTGAGGAGGACAATTCTCCACCATGACCACTAGGTGGTGATGTTGGCTCAGAACAGCTGGGTTGCAGTGCTGGTGAAGTCAAGATCAACAGCTATTTGTGTGAGGAGGATACTTCCAATTTGGGTACATGGGAAGGGTTAGGGAAGAAAAAGAGAGAGATGCTAATACTTTGTGAACGCATTTGTATAAATATATAGACAGGAAGTGTATCAAAACGTATATCATCTATCTTATAAAATTTCCAAGCATCATATATCTTTATATGCTGCAAGTTTTTACATACTGAAGTCTTCACCAAAGGCTCTGCTTCAACATTACAATATACTTGCGCCTAAATCTTACTCAGATTTGCTGCAAACATGCCTTTGAACACATTACCTTACTCTTATGTGCATTTGGCTCTTCAGCACTTTAATGATGTGATTGTTAATCTCAAAATTAATGTTATTTCTCTGTCCTAGTACCACCATGTTTCATATAATCATGTAGGCATACATATACATACATGAATATTTCCCAGAAAGAGATATCAAGCTATTATTTTAAAGTTGAATCAAAGGAACATGAGTAGGAGAAAGACGTCTATAACTCTTATAGACGTACTGGGAAGGCAGCCAATCTAGGCGGTGAGCAGAGGGCTATACTTAGATGGACACTGTGAAATCCTTTAGATATCAAAGAGTTTTTGATAACCAGGATGTCAGAAACCTATCTCTGTTACTAACACTTGTTAGATCAGAGCCTGTATTAATAATTGTTACAGTATTAACAAGCACAACCTGTGTTCTGATGTTGTTTTGTAGTAGAAAATTTCCTAATACAAGCTCTGAAGATTTAAGTCCTAAGGGGACAATCAGCCTGTATCACTTTAAATATTCAGCTCTCTGTACATTTTTAAAAAGCACTCTCCATTCCTTAAAATACTCCTTCAAGAATGTTGCCCCAATATATTTATCATTTATCATCTCTCAATACCTAAAAATGAAAAATGAAATTAACATCTGCTTTTGGTTTAACGGCTCAGATCAGGAATGTCCTGCACACATGAAGTACTAAGTGGGTTTGCTCAGGCAACAAGGCACCACAGACTAACGGCCTCGACGCCCTGCGATTTTTCTCTTCTCAGTTCTGAAATTAATACTTCAGAGCAACAGAAGGAGAGTATGTATCTTTTTACTGTCCTACAAAATTGTAAAAATTATCTTGAAAACATGTTGGGTTGTTTAACGGTGACAGAAAGTCTGGCTATTTTATCATCATACTCAATAAGAAGGAGATAATCATAATATTAGCAACAAAACTGTTAACACCATTAGTAGAGTAACAATTGTATTAATACTACTGTTACTTCTACCTAAAGGTAGTAAACTATTACTCTACTGCCACCACAAAAGGCACGGCCCACAGCACATCTTTCAACAGTCTAAAATGTTACATATATCCTTTATTATAGAAATGATGTCCCTGATGGTAGATGTTTAAGGAACAGAATGTCAAAATTTAATTTATCTCATTTTGCAAGTATGAAGGAAGGTGATGAAAAAACATGCATTCACAGTATTTATACTATGGAAACTGAACATGAAATGAACATGCGTTTCTGTTTTCTAGAAGCAAAGCATATACTTACGAGAGAAAGATTTGGGAATTATTGCATGAAAATCCCTAAAGCCATCAGCCCCATATGTAACTGCAATAAAGAAGGCAAAAAAGAAAGCTGGGTTGTGATACCGTTTGAGAGATATAGTAAGAATTTAAAAGAAAGCATTAGTTTTTAAAAAGAAAGTATTATTGTTCAAAAACATTATTTAGCTACTAATTGGCTACTGTTAGCCCTCACAGAGGCAAGTGAAAAGGTGACACAGTGAAAGAGTCCTCCGAAAGAGGACTGCAATTCATGGCATTAGATCATAGAGTTCTGGAGCAACCTCTGAGGTGTGACACCTCAGGGGAAGTAACCTAAAACATTCCAGAACTATGAGAAACCTTTCAGCAGAATGGGTACACACAGGTCCAAGATCTCGGCAGCACCGCATAGCTCCTCCTGAGAGAGTACTTTTCTACCCAAGAGCAGCGTGTTTCTGAATGGGCTGCTTGCAATAGCAAATGTTCTTCATTCAGCGTTCAATGTTTTCTTAGAAAGTGTTCATAGAAAATTAGAAAATATTCATGCAACACACTGAGTGGGGAAAAATTAGTGTTTCCCCTACCTCAAAAAGAGCTACCAAATTCTGTTGGCATTCCTTATCAGCTGCTTTCACAAATGTTATCACCGCCTCAAATCTTCAAGTTCTTGTTCTGTTTTATAGGTCAGAGCTTCCTGGTGTGTGTCTATGTCTTAAGACAGTAGATATCGCGCATGCAAACACGTGCGTGCACACACACGCATAATTTTCTCTCCAAGAGTGGCATCTCAGTGACTATCAGTTACGTGCACAGCGTAGCTGCCACATTACACTTGTTGGATGGCACTTCTGAATTAGCAGAGTAAAGACTCCATGTTATCCTGCAGGGAACACCTCAACTTTGCTCAAACCAGAGTTTTCCAAACTTATTTGACCACAGACCCTCCCTTTTTCTTGTGGAAAATTTATTACAATATTGGGATAATGGGCAAACACAGCTTGGCAGACACTTCCACAGCTGTTCCTGGAAGTGACTACCTTAATTACTTCCCAAGAAACTCAGTCTTCCTCCATTTATACAGTTCTTTGATCATCCAAATCTAGCAGAGAAAGTTACTACCATGTGTCTGTCAGACATTGCTATCATCAGTTGGTTTGCCTGGCTGCACGTGAGCTGGAGGGCCCCAGAGAGTCCATATCAGGTCGATTTTACAGTGACCTCTCCGATTCCGTTGTCTTCAATGAGCCCTAACCCTTTATATCAACTTTTCCAGCCTCAGTGGCTCCATGTCATGGGGGTGCTACCATCTCAGGGAATGCGAGAAAAGGCAAAGATGTTTTGAAAGGGATGTGTTATCTTTTTAAGATGGGGACATTACAATACGTGATATAATATAAAATTCTCTGATTACATGACATAACTGCCACAATTCCCTGAGACAGTGCTGATACTGCCGACAGGGGCTTGAGTAGGACTTGATTCGAAAGTCAACTTCCTAATGTGTCCCTCAGCTGCACAGGCCACAGCTCGTGTGTGTGGTGATGAAGACAGCAGCCGGAGGTGTTCGTGCACACTGCTAAACTCACCGGTAAAGGAGCTGGGGGGTTAGAATTGAATACAATTTACCCAAAAATCGTCTCACCATCAGAAAATGTAGACTCGTACAGGTCTCAAGTGATCAAAGTGCAAGCCTTGAAATACGTAAGTTTGTCAGGAGGCTTTCCATTTCGCCCATTACCATTTAATAAACTATTACTACAATACATCATCACACATTAAATGTTAACTGTTTTTTAGGAGAATCAAATTAACTTTTTAGTTTTTGTCTTTAATATTCGATTCTCTAAAAATTAAAAAAAAGTTTAAAAAACAAAACATAGCTGTAACTACAGAGTTGTTCTACTTGCCCCTAGGGGAGCTAACTGGTCAGAATTCACTCTTGCTCATGCCCCACACACGCTCAGGCACACATCAGCTGCCCAGTGGCAACAAGAAGCCCATGGTATCTACATGGGCCGGAGGTTACGCACAACAAGAAAGATGTGAAAACTCACTCTATCTGGTCCTGTCCTGCCCTGCCATGTCCTGTCCTGTTCTGTCCTGTCCTATCCAGCCCTGTCCTATCTTGTTCCGTCCTGTCCTGCCCTGTCCCATCCTGTCCTGTCCCGTCCTGTCCTGTCCTGTCCTAACCTATCCTTTCCTATCTTGTCCTGTCCTGTCCTGCCCTGTCCTGCCCTGTCCTATCCTGTCCTGTCCTATCCTGTCCTGTCCTGTCCTGTCCTGTCCTCTCCTATCTTGTCCTGTCCTGTCCTGTCCTGTCCTGTCCCATCCCGTCCTATCCTGTCCTATCTTGTTCTGTCCTGTCCTGTCCTCTCCGATCTTGTCCTGTCCTGTCCTGCCCTGTCCTATCCTCTCCTACCCTGTCCTGTCCCGTCCTGTCCCGTCCCGTCCTATCCTGTCCTATCTTGTCCTCTCCTGTCCTGTCCTGTCTTGTCCTGTCCTGTCCTATCTTGTCCTGTCCTGTCCTACTTTATTCTGTTCTTCTCAGTCCAACACCTTGGGGAAGGCATTCACTGGGAGTTTTGTAAATGCCAGGTTCTTGGGAAGCAATTCCATAAACTGCCTTTAATCCTCACCATGGTCCCATGAGGCAGGTACTATAGCCAGTTTACCAGAGAGAAGGCTGGGGCTCAAAGGAAGTTCTGGAATTTGTCCTCTGGTGGTTAGCATGTAAATATGCTGATTTGAGACTGTATCTAATTAACACATTACAGTCACTATTCCAAACACACATTCGCCCCATGCAGTGAGGGCCTTTGGGAAGCTGTGCCTTCTCTCTTACGCTGTTGAGAGGCACTGGAAAGTGTGTAAGTGCTGCAGCTGCACACACACAAACACACTCACTCACACGTGGGAGTTACAGAGCATTCATCAACAGAGTCCCCACACACGAAATGATTCCGCCCAGCGATTTGGAAGGTATGGCCGGCTGGCTCTGCCCTCTGCGTGTCCAACTCCCTGGCTGGCCCTGGTCTGGAAGTGGTCACCATGGGAGCAGGCAGGTGATTATGCCATGATGACTCTCAGCCATGTCTTCATTTCTTTAGTAAATTCCACCCCAAATTTTAGGCCATGGTTTTCTAAAACCGTGCAGATACTAAAAGATTCAACATATCTTGTTAAGTTTTCTAAATTTAACAAAATCCATTCTTCATATCAAAAGCAAACTTAGTTCATTTGGCAGGAAGTTTTATTCTGCAAACTGTCACTAACAATTTCATATAAATTGCTATTAATCCCTCAGATTCCGAATTCTATTCAGATGGTCAAATTGATGAACATTTTGGAAAAAAGATTAAACGTCCACAAACCACACTTTTTTGTTTGCATTTAGTTGTGCATATAAAGTTCTCATGCTGTTGTCCCCTTATGGGGCCATTAAGACATTCTTGAGATTTTCAAAACAGGAGGGAGGAAGTCTATTCCACTTTTAAGTCAAAGAAGGACACTGAATTTTTTGGGGGAGAGTAAACACATTTAGATTTGTATTTAGGAGAATTTACAAATATGCTGGAGTTTGACTTTTATACATATTCTTTAAATCATATTAGCCTGTTGAGCATGGTCAGATCATTAGTCTCATTAAGCATGGTTTGAAGTGACCTTTGCAGTGCCTACAGATCTCGAATTTCATGGATTTGCACCCTAACCCTGTCACAGTGCTAGTGAGAGGGTCCCCAACTGGGACAGTGAAGAAAGGTGAAGGAGACCAGGCACACCTCAGAGCCAAAACACCAAGACCGCACTTCTGCTAGAGAACTAGTTACGTCCCGGCATAGGTACCAAATCCAGATTCTCTTGACCTTCTTCCATACCTAGACATTTCTGGGATGGACCTTTGTTCTTATACCATCTTCTAAGTTAGGTAGCTCTGGGTTGTATCAGGGGAAGAGAATACTGGCTAACATCTCCTACCGCTCACTCTAAGAAGGTACTGTCATTCTACTCTTACAGAAGAGGAAACTAAAATACAGACAAGTTTAAAGTTTGACCCACAGACCCAGAGCCGAGGAGAGCTGGTGTGAGGTCTCACACCTAAACTGAGTCACTCCTAAGCTGCTCCTTCCACTCCACGTCCAGCTTCCTACTCCGCCAGCTCCTTCTCTGCAGATTTCAAGGCCCCTGTGTGCACCTCATGGTGGCTTATTCAGCTCTCTATCCTGCAGAGCCCCAGTATAACGTCATGCACCAATGGGCACACAAAATGTTTGTAAAAGGAGGAAGGAGAGATATGCCAGGGCCTCCCGATTGTGAGAATTTGCTTGGGCTCAGTCATTGCCTAGCTGCCTTTTCTTCCCTTGATGCAGCAAACAAGCACATCCAAATCCAAACTCCAGGTCTTCCTCCAGACTCAGTTCTCCTTCTTCTGTCCCACTTGTGCCAATGGTGCTCTTATCTGGATTCCATAAGTTCCAATGCACATGGGTCTCACCTCCACCCCGGCCTGCCATAGCCAACATCTCTCTGAGTTCTTTCAAGACATCTCTCACATCCCAGCACTTTCATGAAACTGCTGCCTCACCCAGCAAGGTTGCCTCAGCTTGCCCCACTTCCTGCCAGTACTTCGTGTCCACCACTGGGCCCAAGGGGGTTGGTCTGCATCCTGCAGACCTTGCTTTCAGGCTCCCCTTCCAATCGATCCTGCCCACTGCCCAAAGATGGTCATCCTCAAGGCTGCCTTTATCAGGTCACATCTGCTTCCAAAGTTTCCATTGGTCTGCACTGTTAGGATGAGACAAAAATCCCAAGTCCTGTGTCAAAATCTCTCTAGGACTGGTCAGCAATGACAAGGAGTCTTTCAGCAGGTAATACTATTCAGATAAGCAAATGGATGAACATTACGGAAAAATGCACGGAAAACCAATGCCTCATCTACACCTCATTTGTAAACAGCTCACAGTTTTCATTCAGCTGTGCATATAGTTATTTCCTAACTAAGCCCCAGCCACAGAGGGAACGCGTTCTCCTAGTCCCAGCAGACCTCTGTGTCCTGTACAGGTGTCA